TGGATAATGATATAATTGGTACAAGTGATACAGGTGAGGGCCAATAATCTGCCCTCTGCCTCGGAACCAACCCCCCATCCCCGTGTGCCCAGCCATCTTTTCTACTAATGTAAGTGTTAAAAAACCTAATATTATTTATATTTCTCTTAATTATTAATTGTGTGTGCATACCATCATAAAGTTAAGATAATATTTTTCTACAGCATAGTTGTGTGTCGTCAAAAAGTGGAGTTTGGGGGTCGGGCCAGTCTCTCTTGGAATTAATTCCATATGTTCTGTTGTTCACTTAACGCGGTACCCTGTGGGTTCAATTGACCGCGTTAAGCGGGGTACAACTGTACACTCGACGATAAGTAAGTCCCCCTCCCTTTAATTTAATTTTACACCACTTGGACTCTTCAAAAACATCCTCTCCCTGTACCCTCGCCTGGCTAGCTCTAAGGTCTTGCCTAGTATAGATAACCACACCCCTCTTGCAGGTTTCTTGATAATGGCTCGTAAATGAGTCATATCCGTCAATACTGAACTCGCATTCCTCTGGGTCGATTTTCCTATTCTTGTACAACAGTTCTACAACTCCTATAATATCTGGTTGGTGTACCTTCAGTAGTGTTTCAAACTCCTCTCTCTTATCAAGGAACATGTCAATATTAGTGTACATGACATTCAAGCCGGAATTTGTTCTCGGTAATGTCTGCTCTTAGTAGTAACCCCGCTCCCCCCCTCCCCTCATTCTCAGAAGCTGCAGCATTTGCTAAGTACACTGTATTTTGCAGGGTGTGGTTTGAAATGTCAGTGTTTACATGGCGCTCGCCTCCTACCGGCTGGTAGGCGGAGCTGATGCCACCTCCCGGGTGGGGGGTGTGCTGCTGCCCCCTGGCCCTGTGTCGGCACACTTGGTTCCACTACCGTCTCCCTGAATATAACCCATGTACACCCATCCCCGTTCCTCCTTGACTCCTCCCTCTTCTGCTTCAAGTGCTGCAGGAGCTTCTTGTGCTGTTCCCTCTGCATTAACGTGCGATCTGGGTGAATGAATACACTCTGAGATGCCTCGCTTGGTAAGTTTTTTGCCTGCCGAATAACCTCCCATTTCTCCTCCTCACTCACTAGTGTGATCCTGAGGGGGCGAGGCTTATCCCTCTGCTTTTGTCCCAGCCTCCTCACATCCTGAGGCGGTGATGGCATCTTCAGAACCTCTGTACAAATATTCTTAAACTGCATCTTATCGTGTGTTATCTTACTCTCAGTTCCCTCCGCCTGGCTCTCAGGGACTCCAAAAACTATTACGTTGTTCCTGTGCTGGAAATTTTCCCGTTGTTCCTCCTCTTCCCTAGCAGTAGGTCTGTTAATTTTCATTTCTTCGACACACTTCTTCAGAGTTCCTAGCTGCTGTAGAACCTGTTCTGATCCTGCATTACTCTCTGCCACCTCCCGTGGCCCTGCTAATGCCTCAGCTTAACTCCTCTTAGCAACCACCTCCATTTTATTGGCTACTTCCTCAGTCTTAGCAAGGATCTCTTTCCCAACTTGTTCTAGTTTGGCAACCAGCATGGATCCAGCTTCATCTATTTTCGTCCCTAGGGAACTCGTTCCCCTATGGCTTGCAATCGCCTCTTTCTCCTTGATTATGCAGTCAGAGCAATACCAGCAACAGCGTTCATGCTTTATGGCAGCTTACATCGTCCTAAACTTTGCAAGGGTCAGGCCTGTATCACCCATAACCGTCATCCCCTGCAGTAACATACTCATGGTTGTTGTTGTTGTGTGGTGGGGGGTGCAGACTGTGTATACATCTACACGTATTTAAAAATAAAGAAAAAGAAAAACAGTACTTAGCTGTCCTCTGCTGGTTTTAACCTTCCTTGTTGCCGGTAGGGTTGTCTTCTGGGGTTTTTTTTTCAGTTTACTTCTGCGTTTGTCGGGATTTATGTACACTGCATTTTGCTATGAATTACGGATTTTATACACCCACTCAGTCCTTTAGAAACACAGAAAAATAAAATAAAACTTTCTTTGGGGCGGTAATAGAATGCCTTTTAGGATAGCCAGCTTGTTGATTTTATTTAATTTTTAATTTTTTTAACTATTATTTCCTTATACTTTCTTTTTCCATTCTCATCAACGACTATATCTCTTTGTGATATCACTGTACACTGTATCTCTCTGTGAATGGTGTATTGAAGGCACAGTTTCAGTCCATGAGAAAGCACACAAACAAAATAAAATTTAAAGTCTCTGTGGCACCTGAAACACGACTTGGTTTCTGCTGACAGTGGTGCCTTACCAGCTTGCTTGCCAATTTGCAATCACTTTAATTTATTTACAACCTCTTCCACAGTCACTGATGACACTATGAACTGATTTAACTAAAGGCACAGTACTACACTCTCTGGTTGGCCTTTATCACAGCTGTGACCAATACTCCGTAAAAAAATAAAATAAAAGCTTTGTCATATGGCAATGATTTTTTTATTGTAGGCCTCTTGACCTGTGCTGTATCTCCAACTCGGTGGAGATTGAGTTTTCAAAAATACAATCGTGTCTAGCATTAAAAATCTTATCGATTTACACTTTCACATCACTAAAACGATCTTGATGATCTTATGTAATCCAATCCAATTTCTGCCGCTCAACAAGGAAGGCCCAAATGCCGAACACGCTTTGTTACAGAGACTCAACATGACCCGACCCGCGCGCCTAACTTCCTCAAGAACAATAGGGAGGTTAAACAAGGCAATTACTTCCCGAATGAAAATAATAAATTAAAATTATTGAAATTAAAAGAATTGGATGACAGAGCAGCTTTGATCTCCCTTCTTGGATTAACATTAAATAATACAATATATCTCTGTGTTTGTAGGAAAACTATTGATTTTCTAATTCCCTCATTTACAACAGATTTTTTTAAACTTTTCCATTTATTGATACTGATTATCATGCAAACCAGTTCCAAACCTACTTAAATAACTAGAACCATAGTATAAATTTGTTTTGGAATGGGAGTAAACAGGTTTACTTGCTGTGGTTACTGCAGAGGCAAATATTTTAATTGGAAATTACTCAGGTTCTTGCAGGTTGTTCACTAAAGATCAAGGATGTCAACTTTTTGTATGGTTATTCTCATGAACAACATGCCATAAAACAAAGAAACCTCCTTTGTAAGCATATTGCAACTCACCTTAGCACCTAGTACTGTATTTTAGTTGTGCTGTACTGTACTCCTTTAAAATGCAATGTGAGCTTTTAATTTTTATGTACAGTATTGCATGTCTAAGTTCTTGTATGTACTGTACATACAGTATACAGTACTGTACTATTTACTGTACCTGTGTGTTTTGTTTTCAATTGGTTTATACTGCTAGGACAAACCGTAGAGCATTTGTACTTAATGTAAATTCCTAATGTACAGTATTACCCCGCCTAACGCGGTTTCACTTAACGCGTTTTATCATATACGCGGTGCCTCGCCAGAGCTGAACTTTCACTTAACACGGATTTTTTCCACATATACGCGGTGAGTGTCCGGCTCGAGACGCTATTTTTAGATTTGCCCCACCCGCCACCCTGCCTGACTGCCTGTTTTAGCTCATAAAATTCATACAAATTACCCGGCCAGAATATAATTTACATTGCTGGAATTCTTATAATTTGGTGATCATTTTGAATATAAACATCATATATTTTGCATTAAACATACAATTTTTAGATAAAAATTTTTCTCTAGGTAACTATGTTATCTTTTGTGCAAAATATATGACATTTATATTCAAAATATTCCTGGTCTTACAAGGAATCCAGCAATGTCAATTATATTATCCTAACTTTAGTTTGAGGTATTATTTATTAAAATTTAGTGGTTATCCCACACATCTCCTTGGGACGGTTGGTGGGGGGTGGGGGGGAGGGAGGGACCGACCGACCATCTGTTACCCCGTGAAGAATTATTTTTTTTTTTATTAACTGAAGATATTTGTTTTAGCTCATAAAATTCATACAAATTACCCGGTCAGAATATAATTTACATTGCTGGAATTCTTATAATTTGGTGATCATTTTGAATATAAACATCATATATTTTGCATTAAACATACAATTTTTAGATAAAAATTTTTCTCTAGGTAACTATGTTATCTTTTGTGCAAAATATATGACATTTATATTCAAAATATTCCTGGTCTTACAAGGAATCCAGCAATGTCAATTATATTATCCTAACTTTAATCTGAGGTATTATTTAATACTAAATGTTAAAAACTCTGGAAGGGAGGATTGGTGGGGGGTGGGGGGGAGGGTTGGGACTGACCGCGCGGTTGGAAGAGGGGGGGAGGCAAGGTGGGGTACTTTGATTGACAGATAGTGTCGTGAAGATTATTTTTTTTTTTATTAACTGAAGATATTTGTTTTAGCTCATAAAATTCATACAAATTACCCGGTCAGAATATAATTTACATTGCTGGAATTCTTATAATTTGGTGATCATTTTGAATATAAACATCATATATTTTGCATTAAACATACAATTTTTAGATAAAATTTTTTCTCTAGGTAACTATGTTATCTTTTGTGCAAAATATATGACATTTATATTCAAAATATTCCTGGTCTTACAAGGAATCCAGCAATGTCAATTGTATTATCCTAACTTTAGTTTGAGGTATTATTTATTAAAATTTAGTGGTTTTCCCCCAAGCTGTGAGAGGGGGAGGGAGTTGAGTCCATTATTTGAATGGACATTAACTTGGCGACTGTATTTCTCTATTTCTCTTAAGTATTAATTGTGTGCATGTACCATCATAAAATTAAGATGTTATTTTTACTACAACATAGGTATGTGCCTTCAAAAAGTGGAGTTTGGGGGTTGGGCCGGTTTCTATTGGAATTAATCCCATATGTTCTGTTGTTCACTTAACGCGGATTTCACTTAACGCGGGACCCTCTGGGTTCAATTGACCGCGTTAAGTGGGGTACAACTGTATATTAATTTAAACTTGTGGCAGGCTCAATATGGTGACCGATTGATGGATGCCACAAACTTGGAACGCAAGAAGAAATTAAGTGAGTTAAAGTTCCGGATAAAAAATATGGAAATGGACCAACGAACACAAGCACTTAAAGGTACAGTAGTTCTTTAGTTTAATAAATGTTACAAATAAGGTGTAAGGTATTGTTTATAGATTTTTAAGAAGATGGAGGAAGTGATGTTAGTTATAATTTTTCTTTATTTTAGCTTTGAATCATTTGTCAGTCCTTGGTCAGACTGGGATGAAAGTTATCTGACATTATGGACATATTGCCCTGGATGCTGCCACATGGCTGTAAAGCCATTAGCCCATGGCTTCAATAATATTGGAGTCTGGAAAACATGTGGTGCTTGGTAAGGTGGATAACACTTTTCTCATGTGTGTCTGGCCCAATCAGATTAGAGTCCTGCTTGACCCGGAGACATGTGAGAAGGGTGTTATCCAGTGTTACCCTACCAAACATAGGTTTCTTGGACTCCAGTTTCCTTCTGTACTAATACTGGATAGACCAACTGCCCCGAATGGCTGGCTAGCTGGTAAGTGGTGGGGAAGAAATCCAGAGGATATGAAGAACTTTCATCCAGAATATTGCCAAGTAAACATAGGAAGTTGGCATGTGTGGGGACAGTGACTTGCATAAGAGATTCTGCAAATAGATATTATAGCTACATATTACCCAATTGTCCGTCTTTCTACAGACAAGATATAGTATTTTGTTTTACAAGGGTCCATATTATTACTTTACTTTCAACCTCATTCATAAACTGTGCTATACAGAAACTTAAACTTTGTGTATTCGACAAACAAAGAGTGACTGCCAGTAATGGTAAGTTACATAATTTTCTCAGAAATGCATGAAGAACAAAGAAATAACTAATGATTTGTATAATACCTTACAGATACCTGGTATTCACATTCATTATAATGTGATTACTAATCAGGGGTAGAAATTCACATACGCCCGGTAGCCCGAGGCGACCAAAATATCATAAGGGTGACAAGATTATACTATTTGGCTGGTCTGGGATCACCCGATGGGCGAGTGGGCCGATGACAGTGGTAAGACACACTCAATGTGTATAAGAGCTTCTTATAGAGAATACACTATTAATGCTAGTTATCTTAATTGTATCACCGGTATTGCAAGCGGAAGGGATACCCATTTTCTGTATATAACACTATATGAAAATTAAAATAAAATATATATACTCAATGATATAATGTAGTGTGATAAAACTGGACATATGAGTTGGTGCAATGCCACCTAGAACACCAGGCCGGTTCAGGGATTGTATGACGTCACACACAGATACAGTGAGTTCTGCTATAACGCGTGTTTTGATAACGCGAATTTGCTCTAACGCGATTTGTGAATTAGGAACGATATTTGTATAACGCGAACGCTTGTTTGCTATAACGCGATTTTTGCTTACTATTTCTCCAATTTTGTGGTACAGTGGGGTATGCTATAATGAATCTAATTGGTTCTAGAACCTTGTTCGTTATAGCATTCATTCGTTATAGGATTAATCCGTTCCAGGCCCCCAAATACAACCACTTAACACTGAAAAATATAATATAAAATTGTAAAAATTGTAAAAAAGTGCATAAATATGCATCTTAACCCCTGAAATAAAGAATATCATTAATATTTGTAATAAAAAAACAATAAATTAGAAAAAAAAAAAAAAAAATTTAAATAATGTGAATATAGTAAAGAAGAATATCAACAAGAAGCGTTCTGGTGATAGAATTCCCGGTGATGATCGTAAAAGAAAGGATATAACACTTGAAGAGAAGCTCAATTTTATCAACCTCAAAATCACCCTTCTCCCCCATCAAGTAAAGTGTTACATTTACTGTATGATTTCATTATTAGATATGAATGTAACATTTATTTAGACTGTGCTATCCTTTGTGTTAGGCTAACTACTAAATTTTTTCGATTTCGAGTAATCTGCACCTAACCCTATTTTCTCCATAAGCCCTGTTATTTCTATTACGCGATTTTCTATAACACGATATTTTACAAGAACACAATTATCGCGTTATAGCAGAACTACCTGTACCACCGCTATTCATGTCGGTGTATGGACACCGTGCATTGTAATGAACAAACGCTGGTTAATTATGTAGATATACAATTATTATTGAGAAATTAATTTCTATTCATAATATATAAAAGCAATGACAGCGAAATTTAGTACCTGAATGTATAATAGGCAAGAATAAAAACAATTGACAAGTAATGAAAACTTCCTTTCCATCAACATTCACACCATTTATTATAAAAAAACAATTTCAGGTACACATTCAGATTATCACCGATACAAACAAGATATCAAAAAATAATAACGTGTACGAAATTTGACAACCAATTCACACATACATTCAAAATGAACTCGCTTACAAGGATGCAGTAAAGGATGTTCCACTCGCCAAAAAGGTTGACATATACCTGTTCTATAGGCATATACCTGTTCTATAAAAAGAGTTCTCTCAACAGGAGCATGTTGAAGTGTGCTCATGACATTTGTCAGGTACCATTTCTGGCTCCTGCGTATGCTGCAGGCATTGGAGCATCTACTGAAGAGTTACAAGGCTATTGTACTCCACATGCAGCAGATACAGAACCCTGATGATCCCGCGAAACACAAGGATTCATCCAGAAAAGCTAAGAACTACCTGCTCCTTCTAACCAGTGCTGACATAGTCCAGTACCTTCACCTCCTACTGGATGTGGTGCGGTGCCTTGGGGGCCTCTCAAAGCTGTTCCAGCATGGTCAAACCAATATTTCTGCTATCGTGAATGAACTTCAGACTGCGGTTGATGTACTTAACAAATATTTGACTTGGCCAGGACCCAGCCTGAGAAGGATTATGGAAGGTGACACGATCATGTTCCAAGGAGAGAAGCTGAGTGGTAGAAACAACACTTTCAAGACTGCAAGGCGTGATATGCTGGCATCACTGATTTCAAGTCTAAACAAAAGATTTATTGACATGGCCAGTACAAATCTGAATTTCAAATTGTGGTCTGCAGAGTACAGTGGGAATGAAGATTTCGGGGATAGCGCTGTGCAAGCGTTGGCCCAGGCTCTTGAGAAAACACTGATGGAGGCAGAGGTGAATCCTACTTTTGTAGAGGATGAATGGACTGTTCTCAAAAGTTACATTTACAAGAGTAAGACATCACTTGTTTCAAGACTGTCTTAACAACATATCAACCAATCATACGGAGAAAGGTGTGCCTCATTTCTCCATCTGGTTGACTTACTGCTTTCCATTCCAGCTAGTTCGGCTGATGCTGAATGTGGTTTTAGCCAGGTCAAACTCCTCAAGACAGACTGGTGCAGTCGTCTCACTGATGACCACCTGACGGATCTCATGGTGGTTCAGTTGCAAACAGAGAGTGTTGGCAACTTCAATCCGGACAAAGCCATTGCCAGATTACTAAGAACTGGGGCCCGCTGTGTGGATGGCTACACTCACACTGCTGGCTGCAGCACAGTGGAAGATCTGGACGACAACAATGAGTTGAACGAGGAGCATGTACAGGAAATTCTTGTTCAAATGCATTGAATAATCTGTGCTCCATGCAATTAATTTAGTTAATATGTGATTATTCCAGTGTTGGTTTATGATTTCCACTACTAAATAAATGTCACACAGTAAATATGTGCTCCATGCAATTAATTTAGTTAATATGTGATTACTGTATTCCAGTGTTCACACTGTAAATCTGTGCTTCATGTTAATAATTTAGTTAATATGTGATTATTCCAGTGTTGATTTATGATATAACATAGTTTCTACTAGTAAATAAATGTCACACAGTAAATAGAACTTTTTATAAACCCGTTAAGTGCCAATGTTTAATGTTTCTTGACAATTTGTTTAAGGGCTAGTAAAAATTTATAAGGACTAGTAAATTTTCAAATCTACTAGTCCTGTTGGTGACTATGAAAAAATGGTGAATTTCTACCCCTGCTAATGCATGTGTTATGGCTGCCAAATATGATTTGATATACAGTACTGTATGATCACAGTATCATTCATTACATCACATTTTTCAGAATGGATGAGCTTCAAGGAGGTGGTAGTTATGTTCGCTGAGCAACAAGTAAAATATCGTGCAGAACATAAAAAGGAGCAGCAGCTTAATACTGCCATCCAGTAAGCGTATCTCTTTGTTGACTCGTACATTTTCTAGAAAGTTAAAGATAGGGAGACCAGATGATGAGAGAGCCCCAATATACAGGTAGTCCCCGACTTACGACCGACTCGACTTACGTCCACCCGCACTTACGACCTCTTTAGTCGTACCAAAATGTGGTCAAATTATGTATTTTTGAGTCCCAAAGTCAGTACACAGATAAACTTTTCATCTGTAATTCACTTTAAAATGGCTGGCAAGCTTAAAAGTGAGTGTTTTGTGGTGCTGAAAAGAAAAAGAGACCCAAATTTTCGATTTTCTATGTACTGTATTATTTAAGCATTTCCGACTTACGACCATTTCGACTCACGACCTGGATGTCGGTTCCTAACCCCGTCATAAGTCGGGGAGTGCCTGCCCATTCTGGGGTCACTAATTCTAAGGGAATAACTTAAATCTACTCTAATTCTAAGGTCGCTGCCACCAGACCCCTGGACAGTATGTAGCTTGTTCAGGTAGCTGGCAGAGCAAGCCGGGCAGTGGGTTGGGTTTTTCATTGACCAAATTGAGAGTGGGAAGAAGGGTGAAACATCAATCATGACTTAACTAATTTATTCCTTATAAAAACATATTGCATCCAGTCACAATACAAAAAGATTTGGCCTTCATCAGAATAACCACTATTATGTCCATTACACTTCACATCAGTATACGTCCTTCATCAAATAACTACTATTACCATCTTCATTCTTCATAACAACCAATGACCTCCTTACCTTGGTCATTCCTTCTTACCATAACACCCAACACATCAGATTGCACCACAGGTTAGAGTATAGCACCACATGTTATATTATAGCACTACATCTCAGGTACACTCCACACCTACAAGTATGGAACTCCTTGGTATTCTTCAGGCACATGTACCAGGTACCTTGTTCACACTCTACTCTTGCTAAGTAGATGGAGTACTTCCCAGGTAATCATACCAGTACTGGTTCCAGGCCGGGTATTCTTAGGTCGCTCCACATGGCGACCGCGAAACTTCTCAACACACAATTATGTTCTCCTATCCTGGGTGGTGATATGTAGGGTATCCACAGATTCACAGTGGAGGTGCAAAATGGCCATAAGCAGACACACCACACCCGGTGGGTTCCTCACAGTGGTGGTTGCTCAGCCGACGCTCTGGGCAGCACCTGTTTTGGTGAGAAGCCGGGCGTCACTCAGAGTAATGCCTGATGGACTTTTAACACCACGCATTATTGCAACTACTACTTCACTTTATAACATTAGGCAAGGTTTTAAGATGTAAAAAACTTCTAGATAAGTCTTTTTAGGGCTGAATGGAGCACAATGGAGTTCACTGACCTGTTTTGGTGAGAAGTCGGGCGTCACTGAGGGCGATGCTTGGCGTCACACACTGAACTAGGCCTACAGTTTCCAATCTTAAATTTTCACTTTGATATTATTATGATTCTCACATATACAGTAATAACCCACTTAACACGGTTTCGCTTAGCACGATTTCACATATACGCGGTGCCTCGCCAGAGTCGAATACGTGGGTTTTTTCCACGTATACGCGCAGAGTGTCCAGCTCCAGACGCTATTTTTAGATTCGCCCCACCCGCCACCCTTCACTTCACTTCTCTAACACTATTTCAGGGAGTATGGTAAGAACTGTACGGTAATCCAGGAGTTATGGCAATTTAAATGGATGCTGCTCACACTCGCAGTCTGACTGCTAAGATAATATTGTTCATTTATCATTCTGATCTTCCCTTCCAATGGGCCTTAAGAGTTGTCAATTAGTTTATTTGGTAGAACTTACTTGCTGCTAAGACGCATCAAAATTTGACGCAATTTTGTTGAAAACTTAAAATTTTGGTGATGTTTTTAAGTTCGGTGACTTGATTTACGTCACCGTGAAGTTTGTCTTATCATGAATATAACATGAATCGTGTCATCATGCACGAGACGGTTAATATCAAGGGGCACATGGCTTCATAATGACCTCAAAATGCCCATGATATTGGTCAGATTACAAAAAAATTTCTGGGGGCTTACAGTGACCCCCGCCCCCCACCCCTCCCCCTAAAAAAAAAATAAAGAAAAAACTGGGTAGGTTTGTAATTCTCGCCATGTTCCCCCACCCACAACTTCTTGGATTCCCCCCCCCCTCTTTTTATATTCCTGGATCCGCCCCTGAAGTGATACCCATAGCCTTGAGATCCGATATTATATATTATGTTCTTACCCCATAAAGCATACAACCACTTTATCAGAATCAGTGGAAATACTGTGCTTAAGTTCCTACATAAGATAAGCATTTCAGCTATGTCTTTCATGACATCAGTTGAGGCACTGTGGGGAAGGGTCCCACAGCTCTCTTAAAAAGTAATCAAATTTTGTATTTGAAACTTTTGTCATTAAAAGTAGTTGTGCTAGAATTACCAAGGTTAAGAATCTTCACTTTACATACTGTATTTCATAAAATTAAGATACTGTACCATAATAATGTTTTTGGCTACTTTTTGTGTTGCCATGTACATATTGCTTAATTTCCACATAGATTTGCTTTATATGAACTTGTTGTTGAAAACAATATTGAACTGTAACTAGTCTGAAGTCATTATTTTTTCTAGGGTTCTAAACGTTAACTTGTACACCTATATACAGTGGGGTATGCTATAATGAATCTAATTGGTTCTAGAACCTCGTTCGTTATAGCATTTGTTTGTTATAGGGGTAATCCGTTCTAGGCCCCCAAATACAACCACTTCACAATGAAAAATATACAGCTCCTCCCCGACTTATGACCTACTCAACTAACATCCACCCGCACTTACGACCTGCCTCAGTCGTACCAAAATTTGGTGCTGAGAAGACAAAGAGACCCCCATTTTAGATTTTCTATGTACTATTTAAGCATTTCCGACTTACGACCATTTCGACTTACGACCATTTCGACTTACGACCATTTCGACTTACGACCTGGATGTCGGTCCCTAACCCTGTCGTAAGTCGGGGAGCAGCTGTAATATAAAATGGTAAAAATTGTAGAAAAGTGCATAAATGTGCATTTAAACTCCTGAAATAAAGAATATAATTAATACTTGTAATAAAAAAGAATAAATTAGTATAAAAAATAATAAAAAATACTGTTCGCTGTAGGAGTTTTGTTCGTTATAGCATTTTCAATTTTATAGGGAAAACCGTTCGTTATAAGAATATTCGTTATATAAACCGTTCATTATAGCATACCCCACTGTATGTACTTTTTTCTTTTTGTTTATTATGCTTTGGTTGGATGTCATTTCTATTATGTTCTTATCCCCAATTTTCTCAACAGAAGAACAGTTTGTATCTTAAGTGCTTTTCCAGAACATATAACAAGACCATCAAACATGTGGAAGCTGATTGTACCCAAAAACGGCAATCAAAAAGAGGTGAAAATGTACTCTGCTGGTCTTTACCAAGTACAACTATTCAGGTAGAGTTCTACTTTTCTTGTTTTGTGCTGTGTTACTATGTAAATGGGCATATATATATATATATATATATATATATATATATATATATATATATATATATATATATATATATATATATATATATATATATATATATATATATATATATATATATATATATATATATACACACACACACACAGTGACCCCTCCGTTAACGAACTCAATCCGTTCCAGAAGGTCGTTCGTTAACCGAAACCATTGTTTCAATTGGTTTTTGGGTAATTGGTTCCAGCTCACCGAAAATTTCCTAAATTCAACAAAAATGGTAGAAAAATTCACTTACTTTGAGGTGTGTATGTAGAAGGCTCCTGGATGATGATGATGGGATTTAGAATGGGGGTGGAGGAGAAGGAAAAAGAGAAGGCATTGGGGTGGAAGAGAAGTCATCCCATGGCGCCATTTCACCCATAAAATTTTAGCTCTCTTGGTGTAATTCAAGATTATTTTCTTTAAATCAACACTGCACTGCATTATATATTGTCAATATGTAAAATATATTTCAAAATGACCAATAATTTGCTTGGAAACACAGAAAAAAGTGTTTAGTTGAAGAGAGTCTCAAGCAAGATGTTACCTCCAGTGAAAACAGAGAGAGACTAACTCCTGTTTGCTGTGTTAAGAGGCTGGATGCCGCACATTAAACTAGTCACTTTCCCTTCAGTTATGTTCAGTAATTGTTAAAATGACTAAAAAATTGAATATTAAACTTTTAAAATTATTGAATAGTATAAACTTCTTGATATTTACTAAAATAGTAAGGAATTTAAGCCCTAGAACCGATTAATGTATTGGCGGACTGATACTAAAGCTGGTTGCCCGGTCAGTGCAAGCGAAAACATGTTGAGGTCGGTTCATAAGAACTTCGTTAACCGAATTTTTTTCGTTAACCGAATTGAAGATCCTTATGGAAGGCAGTTCGTTAATCGAAATTACGTTAACCGAGGTGTTCGTTAAACAAAGGGTCACTGTATTTATAGAAAACCTACTAATGTGTGTTCATACATTCATTAATATTCTGCCCACCATAATAGAGTCAAACAGTCAGTATTTTCAAAATGTTTTTACGTGCTTTGAGAATTTGCAGCCCGGAATTCATTGATGAGGAATATAAATATATCTATAATATTGGCTCAAACCTTAAATATTCTAGATCTTTCATAGACAAATGCCTGAACATTATTAAGAAATCTTTTTATAGAACTGATCCCAAGCCCACCCATGACCATAAGAATCTCTTAGTACTACCATTTCACAAAAATTTCTCTCAAATTCCTTTACAACTAAAAACTAGGAACGTCAATGTGGCATTTAAAAACTCATGCATTGTTAAACAAATGTTAATCAAGAACTCCCCCAACAACACAATTGGTTGCATTTATAAAGTTCCTTGCAAGGAATGTAATATGTTTTACTTAGGCCAGACAGGTAAAAATCTTGTAACTAAACTTAAACAACATAAATATAGTGTTAGGACAGGCCAGGAATCCAATGCTCTGTTTGTTCATCTGAGGGATAATAAGCATTGCATTGACTGGGATAATGCCTCCTCAATATTACCTTGTAATTCAATTGACAGTAGGAACAGTATAGAATCTAGTCTCATTAAACATACCGAAGCAGTCAACATGAATTTGAGTAATGGCATGTACAAACTGGACAATTTTGTAATTAAGAAGATTTGTAACCAGGTGAGAAGGTTGGGTCACCTTACTCTCTGACCTGACTACCGACTGTTGCGGTGCTTTTTAAAGATTAGTAGGGTCATTACCTAATACCTGACCATTGTGGACCTGATCTCACCCTCCTCTGTATATATACACCTTGTTTTGTACTTCTCCTTAGTCTGTACTCACCCCTGAAGATGTGAATTACAGGAAAGCGCTTGGGAATTTCGTGTTTTCTTCTTTCCTTGTGGTTATCAGCATATACCTTGATCACACGCAACTACAGTGATTCACTTGTGTGTATATATATATATATATATATATATATATATATATATATATATATATATATATATATATATATATATATATATATATATATATATATATATATATATATATATATATATATATATACATATATATACACATATATATATACACATATACATATACATATATACATATATACATATATATATATATATATATATATATATATATATATATATATATATATATATATATATACAGTATGCTATAACTAACGAATTGGTTCCAGAACCTTCATATGTAGGATTAATCCTTTCCAGGCCCCAAATACAACCACTTAACACTGAAAAAATTCTGTGGAAAATGTAAAAATACGGTACTTTATCTTACCTTAGTGTTATTCAGCATGCAGGTACCCCTAAACACTGGCACATCACTATCACTTCCACTGGGAGTCTTGATTTAAGGTCCTCAAACAATTGTTTAGCCTTCTCACAAATTATAGCTTCACTAATGTTACCACCTGCCATTTCTTTCTCCTTTATCCACACTAAGAGTAATTTTCCATCTCTTCAATCACATTACACCTTTGCTTTGCTAAGTCTAAAGATTCCTTTAGCCACTTGCACAGTTTTAACCTCTTATTCTTCAAAATCGCATATATAGTCGATTTAGCCATCCCATATTCATCACTAAGTTTCGCAATGCTTCTTCCATTCTCACGCTTTCTTTATAATTTCTTTTTAGTTTCAAGGGTTATTAGCTTTCACTGCTGGACGACTATTGTTACAATTGTATACTTGTATAACAAAAATAGTTATACAAATAACGCTAATTTCCACATCAAAACGAACAACAATAACACTGGCACTGGCTACACAATGAGACAAAGATGGCGCTTGACGCTTGTTTGGTCGCAGTACAACAATATTCATGCGCCAGGCTAAGTAGTCCCGTATTCATCCGTTGTAGGAGTTATGCTCATATAGCATTTCAATTTTATAGGTAAAACCGTCATATAGGAATATTCGTAGTAGATCCGGTTTAAGATATATACAATATATATATATATATATATATATATATATATATATATATATATATATATATATATATATATATATATATATATATATATATATATATATATATATATATATATATATATATATATATATATATATATATATATATATATATATATATATATATATATATATATATATATATATATATATATATATATATATATATATATATATACACACACATATAGTTAACCTCACTTTACGTGTTAATGTAACCCGGAGGGTACATGAAAGTTAGAAACGCTAGTAAAGTGAATAACATAACATATGGGATTAATTGAAATGGAGTCCAGGCCGATCCCAAACTCCACTTTTTGACGCATACATAACTATGTTGTAGTAAAAATAACATCTTAAATTTATGATGGTACATGCACACAATTAATACTTAAGAGAAATAGAGAAATACAGTCGCTAGTTAATGTCCATTCAAATAATGGACACCTAATCTCCCTCTCTCTCACACTACACTGCCGGTCCCTTCCTCTGAGAAATTTTGGGGGAAACCAGGTATAGTAATAAATAATACCTCAAACTAAAGTTAGATAATATAATTGACATTGCTGATTCTGTAAGACCAGGAATATTTTGAATATAAATGTCATATATTTTGCACAAAAGATAACATACTTACTCAGATTAAACATTTTATCTAAAAATTTTATGTCTAATGCAAAATATATGATGTTTATATTCAAAATGATCATCAAATTGTAAGAATTCCAGCTATGTAAATTATATTCTGCGGGTAATTTGTATGAATTCATCCCCAACCTAAACTCCCAATCTCAGAAAATTTAGATTTTAACATTTTGTATTCAATAATACATCAGATTAAAGTTAGGATAATATAATTGACATTGCTGGATTCCTTGTAAGACCAGGAATATTTTGAATATAAACGTCATATATTTTGCACAAAAGATAACATACTCAGATTAAACATTTTATCTAAAAATTTTATGTCTAATGCAAAATATATGATGTTTATATTCAAAATGATCATCAAATTGTAAGAATTCCAGCAATGTAAATTATATTCTGGCCGGGTAATTTGTATGAATTTTATGAGCTAAAATAAAAATCTTCAGTTAATAAAAAAAATAAAATATTCTTCACACGGTAACAGATGGTCGGTCGCCGGTCCCTCCCTCCCTCCCCCCCACTCCCCACCAACGTCCCTACTAGATAAATGTGTGGGAATACCAGACTGTTTACCTTTTTAGTAATAAATAATAAATCAGACTAAAGTTAGGATAATATAATTGACATTGCTGGATTCCTTGTAAGACCAGGAATATTTTGAATAATAATATCATATATTTTGCACAAAAGATAACATATTTACTCAAGAGTAAACATTATATCTAAAATTTGTATGTCTAATGCAAAATCTATGATGTTTATATTCAAAATGATCATCAAATTGTAAGAATTCCAGCAATGTAAATTATATTCTGGCCAGATAATTTGTATGAATTTTATGAGCTAAATTAAAAAAAATTATACTTCACCCGTGTAAAGGGGTACACCCACCGCGGAATGTGAGCATCCTGGGTTCTGGCAAGGCACCGCGTAAACGTGGAAACGCGGAATGTGGAACCGCGTAAAGTGAGGGTTGACTGTATATATATTTGTGAAATAAATGTATGTAGTAAGTATGTACAGTAATCTTTTTCACTCAAATCATTACGAAACACTATTGAATTAGAATACTGTAGCTGGTGTAAACAGTCGGAACAGTCTCACCACCGATTGTCTCTCGTGAAGCAAGCTTATAAATTAAAGAAAATACTTGCAGTGTGTTTAATATATTACAGTACAGTCAACCCTCGCTTTACACGGTCCCACTTCACGCGTTTCCACATTTACGCGGTACCCTGCCGAAACCGGAATGCTCACTTTCCGCGGTGTGTGTACCCTTTTACGCGGAGAGCGGCGCGAGCAGGGTGCGCACAATGTCGGCCAGTCATCAAAACATTACCGAGTTCTTCACCCCGCTACCCACCACAGCCGGCCCAAGTCAGTGATAGTGATAGTGAGGATATGGACTTGTATGGACTTTGAGGGGTTTGACAAAGAGGCCCTGCAAGCCTCTGTGGTGGATAGTGATACAATTGATACAAGTAATACAGGTGAGGGCCAATAATCTGCCCTCTGCCTCGGAACCAACCCCCCATCCCCGTGTGCCCAGTCATCTTTCCTACTAATGTAAGTGTTAAAAAACCTAATATTATTGATATTTCTCTTAATTATTAATTGTGTGTGCATACCATTATAAAATTAAGAAGTTATTTTTACTAAAACGTAGGTATTGTGCTGAAAAAGTGGAGTTTGGGGGTCGGCCCGGTCTCTATTTCAATTAATCCCATATGTTATGTTGTTCACTTTACGCGTTTCTCACTTTACGCGGGCCGCCGTGGGTTCAATTGACCGCGTAAAGAGAGGGTTCACTCTATGTTATAAATAAATAAATAAACAAATAAATTAGTAAATCCATTTCAAGTAAATGAAACAATTGTTTTCGACACCGACATTAGTTCCAGTTAGATAACAGACGTTTAAGTGAGTCACTAGTGTTTACATTACACCAACCGGTAACATTTGATGCCATTACTTGAAGTGAATTGGCCTCATTTTAAAAAACCATGGATGTGTAAACAGCACTGGTCAATGGGATGGTAGGTAAAGGACTACTGGGTCAGTAAGCTCCCAATGGTTAAGTGTCACATTTGAGGTACCGGTCTTATACAGCGAATAGGGCTCAAAAGCTACTTATTAAATGGACATTTTTGGGGTCGTCTTATACACCCCGTCGCCTTGTAGGCCGAGATGTACGGTACCCAAATCAAGCTACCCACCTTTTGTGGAGTGGAAAGATGCAAATCCCAGCACCTTACGCATCTGCTTCTCCTCTGCTGACAGTTCTTGTGATGGACCATCTAAAAATGGAGAAAAAAGAAATAAGCACACAACATAAATGCATATGTATGTGTGAAACAGCCCTCCAAGGTATGCTACAGTACAATTAATCCCAACGGCATGGAGTTAAAAATACCACTCCTATACGTACTTATATTATGAAAGAGAAGGAAAAGCAAACAAGACAAATGTGTGTAGGTAGTAAGTACTAATGATAAAATAAGGCAAACTTGTTGAATTTATGATGAATAGAAGGAACTGGAACATTTTTACTTCAGTAAAATGAAGTTGCAAAGTAAATAAGAGGTGTACACATGCAGTACTGTACAGTGATATCCTTGTTAGCCGGAACAATTGGTGCAGAGCACTTCCGGGAATGAGAGATTTCCGGCTAACCAGGCAACTTTCTCAAACCCAGAAAAATCCTCCAACCCTGTAAATATTTCCGGTTACTGGAAATACTTTCCGAGTGTCTAAGCTATGCATCTTGCACAGACAAATACTAGCCCACATTCCCAGAACGTTTCTGGGTGTTGGGGTTGTTTTCCTTGAGTCTAAACTGCTGGAGTCTGCAAATGCAGTTCTAATTAAGTTTGAAACTATTTCTTTAGTACAGTAGGATCTCAAGTTTAGCGAGTTTTAGATTCGTTCGTGATTCATATGTTTCGCATCACTTTTAAAATTTTCTGTCTCTCAAGAATAGCAATTTTCATTACCAGTTTCACGAGTCATTGGAGAGTGGACATTGTCACAGTCTTTTGTTATCCGTCGAACCGCCGAGTGTTTTTTGTTTACAGCAGTTAGTTTGAATGAGCGAGCGGTGCAGTGACCTTGGATTATATAACCCATTGTGCTTACGTTTCGCTAGATTCTTGTTTAACTATTAATGATTCTTGTGTATTAGCGATTACAGTATTGTGTATTAACGATTCTTGTGTATTAACGATCTTGTGTATTTACGATTCTTGTGTATTAACGATGAGTGAAGTGCATAATATAAATGTCAGGAGCGGTTCTGGTAGTAATGATGGCTGTAGAGACGGCCAACAAGGAAAGACCCAAGCCAAGCGTGACTACCGTAAGGGGATCAAGAAGAGGAAATGCACCCTTGAAATGAAACGAGAAATGCTTGAAATGATCAAAAGTGGTGCTAGTACCTGTGAAATCATGCGTAGGTTCAACTGCCCTGAAACAACCATTCGTTTCCTTAAGAAGAACAAGGAAGCCTTAACTGCTTCTGTGAATGTATTCTCAAGATTTTCTAATAACAGGATGTTCTCCGATACTTCACAACAAAACCTACTGCTTGTTATCACAGAACAACACCTTCACAGGTTGGTGGAAAGAAAAACCGTGAGCAAGGCGACCTGTCTGGGCCACAGATAAGGCATCAAGCACTTGTTTATTACGCTTCAGTTGCACAGAATAAACGTGTTAACTCTCCACCACCGTTCAGTGCTTCTGTTGGTTGATTGGACGCCTTTAAGAAGCGCTATGAAGTCAATTTTGCCTACTACCATGGGGAGAGTGCATCGGCTGATGTCATAGCAGCAGAAAAATATCTACCTGTCTTTCAAGCTCTTGTGAAAGAGGGTGGTTATTGCCGAGACCAGATCTTCAATTGTGACCAAACTGGCATTTTCTGAAAGCGCTCACCTAAGACCACTTTCATTGCCAAGGATGAAACACAGGCAAGGGGTGTAAAGACTTCAAAGGACAGGATTACAGCTAATGCAAGTGGAGATTTCTTGATGAAACCCTTGGTTGTTAACCATGCTGCCCGTCCTAGAGCCTACCATAATGCCAATATGTCGCAATATGTTTATTGGATGTCTAATAAGAAAGCTTGGGTTACAATGTCTTTCTGCACCGATTAGTTTGACAAGCACTTTGTTCCTGACGCCCATATCGCCTCTGCAGCCACTTGACCACGAATTCATCAGTAATGTTAAAATGTTCTACTATCAGTCACTCTATAAAGACTTTCGTCAGCAGACAGATTCATTAGTTGAGTTACATCAAATCGAGGCAGAACTTTCTGACAGTGACCAGGCTCTACCAGCTAACCAGGAAGAGCAGGAGATGGTAGATGACTCATCTCCTAGCACTTCACCACTGCAACCTGAAGTGTAATCAGTTTGTGAATTTTGGAAGAAAAATAATGATAAAAAGGCAGTGGACAGAATTGTTGAGGCATGGCGTAAGATTACTGTTGCAACAGTGCTACACGCATGGAAGCCTTTGTTCGCTATCTCTGAGGTAAGTAGGGCAGAGCAGACCGAGGCAGAGGCAGTCCGTGGCAGCAACACTAATGGACACAGTGGAGGCAGCGCGGTCAGTTCCAGCACCGGGATTTTCTGATGTTCAGGTTGAAGATTTGCAAGAAATCATTGGTCAACATCAGCAGCAACCGACAATTGAAGAAATTTTGGAGGAGGATAAAGAACAAGAAGAACAGTAAGTAACACAAGAGGATGACATTAAGCACATCTCAGTGAACAGCTATAAGAATACGATACCGGGCCTCATCCTTGGAACCGTATCTGCCCTGCTCTTGATAAGGTTATGGAAGAATATAAGGCCTTGTACATGTCCCGTGTTAATGCTCGTCAGCAGGCCCTTATTACTCGGAACCTGCGCAGCTCCAGCCCGTTATTAATGCCTTGGCAAACATCACTTTAAGAGATGATGATGGTACCACCGATGATGATATTGAAGTGTTGGGTGACTTGTGGAAGAGCTGCCTCAAGATTTTGAGGGATTTGATGCTGAGGTTAGAGGAGGTGTAGAGGAGGGAGCAGGGAGGAAGCAGTAACCAGCCCTCCCTGCCTCGGAACCCATCAACCAACCCCGTCAAGCATTTCATTGACTACATCAAGGTAAGTTATTCTACAGAATGAGTGTATATAAATATTGTTATCAACAATATGTACAATATACATACAGTATGTATGAAGACATTACAGTAATGTCATTTTCTGGGTGGGTTTTAGGTCATTATAGGGGGGTTTGGGTGACACCGCAGAACTGATTAGGCTTATTTACATATGCAGTATTTTAATGTCACTCATTTCATGATTTTAATTTTCGCGATGCTAAAACTGGTACCAAATAGTCGCGAAACATGAGAGCCTACTGTATAATAATCCAGAATAATTTATCTAAAAGTTTGGATAAATATATTTAACAAATAAAGATCTATATGATACGGGCATGAATGAAGCTGTGTGGCAGCAAAGACTCGTATTTTCCATTTTCATGGAGCTGTGGGGGATTAGTGGGTCTAATGTAACTGACCTGACCTGATGCAATGTCAGGTGGAGGTAGGGTGGGGGGATTAGTGGTCTCATATTACTGACCTTCTAATGGAATGTCAGGTCACCCTTTCTTGGGTGGTGGATTAGTGGGTCTCATGGCCTGAAGATGTCTTGAATAAAGACAAAGCTGAAGTATTTTTAGGAAGATAGTGATTAGTATAAATGAGCAAAGTTGTATCCCTTCAACATTACGTTACATAAAATTTTAAAATATGGAGTGAGAAAGCAAGTCACACAGATGGCTGGAGATAGTGGGAGGTGAACCTCTTTTGAGGAGAGGGTGGGGGCTTGTGCGATCACTTTTCTCCCCTCTTTCCTCACTCAAGCGTGGCAGTTCTGTTGAAATCTGAATTTTTGATAAATTTTTTGAAGTTTGGCGACTCAATTTGAGTCACAGTAAAGTTGGTCATATCATGAATATGATGCAAATTGTGTCATCATGTGCGAGAGGGTTAATAATGTCTACAACAGGAATTGGAAAAGATTAGAGTATCTTTATTGAATAATTAATATGCAGGCATGAGCTTCAGTGTTCTGAAATTTGTTCCTAAATGCAAATAAAAATTTTCTTCGCAGGATCAGATGATAAGTGGTACCAGCAAATTTAGTCAACTTAGTGTGCAACAGAACTTCACTTCAAGTAAAATATTAGATAATCAATGGCAAACTGCACAACACTGCCCCGATGCAATTATGGCAGTCACTCGAGGACAAGACTTGCAGCAGTCCCATACCTCAGTCACAGCAAACATTCGAGGACAGGAAAAAGCCCAGCAGCTTACCTCAGTTAAACCAGATAGCCATAGTCAGGACACACAGCAGCTTCTTGCTCCTCTCACAGCAGATAGAGAGAGGCAGGACACTGATATCATAGAAGACTACCAGAGGAATGATATTCAACAATGTCCTATTCCGGTCACGAAAGACTTTCAAAGGTTGCACAAAAAGCAGTGCTCCTCCCCAACCTTAACACACGATCAGAAGATGGACACAGTTTTGGGCTTCACTCCAAAAACAAGAAATGACCAGAGGGAGGTTATACAGCAGAGTCTCACATCAGACATACAAGGTCAACAGATGAGAGGTACACTACAACCAAGGCAGATGTTCAGCAGCAGTCTTTCACGTCTTAAACTAAAGGTTTGCCTACATATAGAGTATTATTGTATATGGTTTATGAATTTCACGTAGAGGGTGAGGTGCTCTGTTTTGGGTAAATGCTGAATGAGAATGAAACACTTGCGTATTAAACAAAAATTTTCAAGAGAAGAACCTTACAGTGTTTTCTTGTACAATTAAAACTGCCTCACTGAAATGGCGCAATGTACTGAAAGTCATTTGCAATAAAAAGCTTTGCTTTAGGTCCAAGAACATATCAGCTCAAGTTGGCGAAGGTCTGATGCCACACCATGCATGCAATTGGTCTTCTATTACACTATGTATTACAGGTACAAAGAGGTCACAACTAATGATCACATAAATAAATGGCATATGGATTTGTTCACCAGATTAATATCTAACAAAAGACCTTTAACTGTAGGTAGATTATTCATGACTACAATGGAGTCTTATAAAATTACCAATAAACATCAGTTTTAGAATGTAATGTACTTCACTGAGATTTTGTGTGTGTGATATTCTTTGGCAGATTGAGTTTAGTTGGTGACTGTCAGAAGGTTTTTAATGAATAAGAGGAAAAGTATTGACCCAAGACTGATCCTTTTGGAGACTTCACAAATAATATGCATAATACTGTACAGTACTGTAATACTCAACCTGCTCTTATGGCCAAACTCATCGTACTAAGTGATTTCAACATCAACAACACTTGAGTGGGTGATGTACGCTATTTGCAGCGACCACCAAGTTAGTGTGGAGGGGGGGAACTCTTTAACTCGTTTAATCTCATACAACTCGTCAACACCCCACATTATACATGATATTGTAGGACAATAAACACCAGCTTGATCCCCTTGAATAATTATTCCAATTTCTTCTTTCATCGCTTTCTCTCTGTGTTCAACAGACCATTTCCTTGTCTGCACTTGAAAGAGCATAATTGTCATTGATAATTAGGTTGACTGAAATGGACTTCAAGATTTCCATTTATCATTTCCTTGGACCACCTGCTTTTCTGAAGAGTCTTGCTTTACTGCAGAGCATGTCATAGATAACATCAAGTTCAGAATGGAAGAGTTCACACTTAACCAGTACCTGAACTATATGAATCCAATGCATCCATACAAGTTCTCATTAATTTTTATTATTTTTATATTTTGCCCCCGGCCCCGATGTGGGTCAATGACCTGTGCCCAGATGGGTTAAAAAAAAATGTAGAGACTAAGTAAAAATCAATGTTAAGTTGTCTAACAAAATTTTCTTCATAGTAAAATCTTCCAGATTCCTAAACACTTGCCTCTTGGGTATTTTAATTTTGAAGAAAACTTCTTCCATAAATTTAATGAAAAATTTGATTGGTTTGTACTCCCTTTAGCTTCCAAAATTTGGAGAAAAGAAAAAGATGTCCCAGTCACTAACCGAGACCTCGAACAAAGAAGGTAGTTGGATTTTGTCCAACGTTATCGAGTCTTCAAGTTTTCACCATCCAAATGTCTCAGAAACACGACCAAGTAACCTGACAAGCTCTCTCTTCAGCTACACATCATCATCCAGTGATAAACCTCCCAATCTCACCACTATGAGTAATTTCAATAGTCATAAGAGTACAGACCATGGTTGTCTGTCCATTTCCACCCCAGGGGGAAGGCAGACTGAAAGTATATCTGGTAATATCTCTCAGAAGTATCATATTAAAGTGGATGTGGCTGGTGTTGGTAAGAGGTGTAGTAAAGAATTGATCAGCCTTACCAGTGAATCAGAGAACAAGCTGCCTATCAGTTCCTGCACACCACACTCTACTCTTCAGCCTAAGGACTCTGTATCTGAAACACACCACGGAGGTAAGTTCTTTCCTCTTAAGAATAAATTAACCCAAGAATTAAATTTACAACGATGCTCCATAACATATACACATTCATCAGTGCACTTGTAAAATTATATGCAGTTACTCTGCTTTTACTAATATATGTACTGTGGTTAGCAATATACAGTATTATTATACCCAAGTAGGTTGAATGTGTTGTTTCAGCAAACATTGATATCATAATTATTATGTCTTCCAGTTGAAATCTGTATTTTTGTTCAATCTGTATTTTTCTAGAAAATTTTAAGTTCATATCAAAATACTGTATAATTGTAATACAAACCTTCTCTTGGAGGTACAATATGCTATAAGTATAAAAGCTGAGATTGACTTTTTCTTTTTTCTTTGTTGTCTCTTTTTTATGTTCTTTTTAATTTTTCTTTCTACTTGTTTTTATGTTTTATTTCTAATTCAACTTCTCAAAGTATTTATTTACTTCAGTTACTTACTAAAGAAGGTAAACCAGGCAAATAGATTACATATTGGGTCTTGTAAGAAGGTCATTCAGATATCTAGACGGTCCGTCCCTCGTAACGATCTTCAAGAGTGAAGTGCTTCCCCATCTGGAGTACTGTCACCCGGTCTGGTCCCTGAGATATGCTAGGGACTGTCAGTTGGTTGAAATGTTCAAAGGAGGGCCACCAGACTGGTTCCTGCACTTCGGCACCTCAGATACCCTGAGAGATTGGAGCGCCTGAACTTGCATAGCTTATACTACAGACGGGCAAGGGATGACCTAATTGAGGTGTATAAGCATCTCAAGGGGCACTACTCAGTTGAGTGTCCTTACTTGGAGCTGGCGGACGCTCACCCCACAAGGGGTCACAGCTGAAGATTGAAGAAGCCGCAAGTCCAGAAAACTGTGAGGGCCAAACTTTTTCGGGGTGAAAGTTGTGAACTCTAGGAACAATCTACCAGAAAGTGTTGTGACGGCACTGAGTGTAGCCTCTTTCAAGACAAGACTTGACCAACACTGGAGCGGGTTCAGGTACACTCAGGAGCCAGTGCACGCCCAATACTTGCCAACAGTACATAGCAGAGACGTGACCGATCGCCCAAGCGGCTAATGAGCCGATCATTTGGTGAAGAGGATAAAAGAAAAAAGTAAAAAAGTAAAAAAAATCTCCCCTTATTTGTCTCACCACTGAGGCACCACGGAAGAATATAGAAGGACAATGTATAGTTTTTCTTGCGTCTTTTTTATTGTTTTATCATTTATAAAGGTTAAAAATTATTTTTGGAAAAGTTGATTTTTCTCGTTTTACCCATTGTTGGGAGTATGGCCGGCAGCACCCTAGCCCTGGGCGTAAGGGTTAAACATGTGGTAGTATAGCGAGGTCTAGGGCACGTGGATTCACTTATACAGGTTGACAACCCTTTATCCGAAATTCCGAAAACCGAAAGTTTTTTTCGTGGGGCAATTTTTTATTTATTTATTTATTTTTTTAAACAGGGATTAGCCCACCTGGGCATAGATCACTGACCCACATCAGGGTCTGGGGGGCGAAAATGTAATGGTAATAATAATTATAATAATAATTATTCATAGTAAATAAAATTTTTAATAAAAATACACCAAAATAAAATAATAATGATGATGATAATAATAATAATAATAATAATAATAATAATAATAATAATAATAATACGTAATAATAATAATAATAATAATAATAATAATAATAATAATAATAAATATAACAATAAAATTAATAATAATAACAATAATACTGTAATAATAAAATAATAATAATAATAATAAAGACATACTGTAGCGTACCGTGATGTGGCCAGTAGTCAATTCTCTTTAGTTGTCTATTTTCTCTTTGTATGGCCACACAAACGTACGTACATGTAGATATCTCACACTCAGGAACGAGGTAGAATAGAAACTCACGATGCATTTTCTGTATATATAATATTGTTGTACAGTACAGTGCAGTGCTAAGGAGTTACTAGGTGAGGAGTAGCTTGCTCAGAGTTCCTGTAGGGCGAGGAGCTCTCTGAGGAAGCTGGGTGGTGAGGTGCTGGAGAGTGATATTGCTGGTCCAGTAGGTCAGAGTAGAATGGTCTCCCTGGCCAGCCATGGCCGTATTTATACAATTTACGAGGATCAGGATTTGGGGTGAGCGTAGCGAGAGGGCCAATCACAGAGGAGGAGGCCAGGCACACCCAGCACTCTGGTCCTAGCGTTGCTATGTGTGCGTCCGCACTGGAGAGTAGGTCTACTGGCACCGCTGGCTGTACGCTGATTGGCGCGCGAGAGCTCAGTCGTCCCTTGTAGGGGATGGAGTCCACTACAATACTCCCCTTCCCCTCCGGGCGTGGCGGGAGGCTGGAGGTTGACAGGGTTGTGTCCCACAAGGGACACATAACGGGCAGGTGTACGTACCACTCGACCACTACGGGTGACGACTCCATCTAGTGACACAAAAGCTGTGGGAGAATCAGGGGGAGGAGGATTTTGGATTAGAGGAGGTTGTACAGGCAATGGTTGTTGTGCTCTTGTCACAGCAGGGGCAACGTCACTGGCTGGGCAGACATGGGCAGGGGACATGGCAGCAACAGGGTCCACGACAACAGCAGTGGGTACCTGAGGGTGGAAAAGGGGTGCCCAGAAATGTTGTGGGCAGGGTCTGGCTGGGTCAGGAGCCGGGGCCACGTCAGGAGGAGGGTCCATGACGGCAACAGGGTCGATGAATGTTGTGCTTCACTCGCGACAGGTACAGAGTCCTCAGATGCGCCTGCTGGGGTGTGTGGGCCTGGGTCAGGAGCAGGGGCTGCGTTAGGAAGAGTGTCCATGACAGCAGCAGGGTGCATGACAGCAGCAGGGTGCAGGACAGTAGCAGGGGGTAACCTGAGGGAGAAAAGAGGGGTGTGTGGGTCCGCACTCAGGCGTATGGGCCGCGTCGGGAGCAGGGGCTACATCAGGAGGAGTGGCAGGGGGTACTGCTGGGCCGGGGGCGGCGTCTGAGGCAGGACGGGCGTGTTGGGGTCGGTAGGACGTGGTGCTTGGGGCAGGAAGAGGAGCGGCTGTCTGCTTAGAATAGCAGAGCTGCTCTAGGGTGTCTAACCTGCGGTGTAGAGACAGTAGCTGTAGAGCCGATGAGAGCTGCCTCTGCGTGGGTAAGCCAGTCTTCCATGTTGCTTGAAGACT